CAATTGAGTTCATCGAAAATGCTTGCATGTGTGTGTGTGTCCCCTCATTTAAAAAACTATTTCTGTGCATTCTTTTTATTTTTTTATTTTTTCCCCCAAAGCCCCAGTAGATAGTTGTATGTCATAGCTGCACATCCTTCTAGTTGCTGTGTGTGGGATGCGGCCTCAGCATGGCCAGAGAAGCGGCGCGTCGGTGTGCGCCCGGGGTCCGAACCCGGGCTGCCAGCAGCAGAGCGCGTGCACTTAACCGGCAAGCCACGGGGCCGGCCCTAGTGTCTTCTATTCTCGAACTAATGTCAGAATTCATGCCCCAGAGCAGAAGTTCAAAAGGGTAACTGGGAGAAAGTAGTCAGTGGCTCAATTTCATTCCAAGTCTTTGGAGACAAGGCTGTCAATCACCTTTATTTTCGGAGCGACATTAACTGAACTGGCAGACATAGCATACAGATGAGAGGCACAACTGTCAGCAACTTCCTGTGTTCATCTTTATCAAAGCACTGCAGTGAAGCTATATGTTCACATCACCAATCTCCCTCATGTGTGACTTACAACCACCTCCTTATCTCATCATCTCTTTATCCCCTGGTATTTAACACAGTATCTACCTTTCACTAGGCACTCTGTTTTTTTTTTTTGTGTGAGGAAGATCAGCCCTGAGGTAACATCTGATGCCAATCCTCCTCTTTTTGCTGAGGAAGATTGGCCCTGGGCTAACATCCGTGCCCATCTTCCTCTACTTTATATGGGACGCCACTACAGCATGTCTTGACAAGCGGTGTGTTGGTGCGTGCCCAGGATCCAAACCTGCGAACCCTCGGGCTGCCGCAGCAGAGCACGCGCACTTAACCACTATGCCACTGGGCCGGTCCCTTAATTGGTTTTTGACTGGAATTAAATTTTCTGAATTATCAAGAATTAATTCCAGTCAAGATCAGAACTCCTGGTGACACTAAAATAACTTACGGAGAGCTTCCAATGCCATGATCTTCAAGTCAATTCTTTCCATGAGCACAAGGTACTTCCTACTTTCTCATCATCTGGGTTCTAGATATAGGAATCTACTCTATCCTGGGCACCTAACGGAGAAGGAGCCTCTACTGTGGCACACTGTGGGTAGGTCTGGCTTTCTGTGGATGAGCTCTTTCAGCCCAAGTCATATTCACTCCTGACTGCTCTGACAGCCGGGACCACAAGAGAGTAAAGAAACTGAGTTCCCGCTCCTGAGGCTCACATAGCTCTTCTCTGACATTAGCGGCCCCTGAAAAAAAATCACAAAACTTCACCCACAAAGAACCTCGAGATCTGACTTATGTTTAAAGCTACACTGTCTGAGGTCGGCCCTGTGGCTTAGTGGTTAAGTGCGCCCACTCCGCTACTGGCGGCCCAGGTTCAGATCCCGGGCGCACACTGACACACCGCTTGTCCGGCCATGCTGAGGCCGCGTCCCACATACAGCAACTAGAAGGATGTGCAGCTATGACACACAACTATCTACTGGGGCTTTGGGGGAAAAACAGGAGGAGGGGCCGGCCCCGTGGCTTAGCGGTTAGGTGCGCGCGCTGCACTGCTGGCGGCCCGGGTTCTGATCCTGGGCGCGCACCGACGCACCGCTTCTCCTGCCACGCTGAGGCCGCGTCCCACATACAGCAACTAGAAGGATGTGCAGCTATGACACACAACTATCTGTTGGGGCTTTGGGGGTAAAATAAATAAATAAAATCTTTAAAAAACAAAACAAAACAAAACAAAAAACCAGGAGGAGGATTGGCAATAGATGTTAGCTCAGAGCCAGTCTTCCTCATCAAAAAGAGGAGGATTGGCACACATGTTAGCTCAGGGCTGATCTTCCTCACAAAAAAAATAAAAAATAAAAATAAATAAAAATAAAAAACTACACTGGCTTCTAACATGCCAGGCCATTCTTCCAATATTTCTTCTAATATGTGACCAAGTTCATCTCCAACACTATTTCAAACACTATGCTAGGACCTTTAGCCTCCATCTTCCATGGAAAAGATGTAACACTTAGAAACAATTTAAGCTAATTTGTAGCCTCCAGGCATTATAACAATCAAAATGTAGAAACAGGAAGTTTTAAATTGAATGAGAGGGAGAGAGAAACAAAGGGAACTAAGGATTTGAACAACAATTTGACAGTCGAAACATCAACAAAAAAAGGAGAGTAGAAAAACAGGGAAAGATAATAGCACAATCATTCAGGTGAAAATAAGTTACAGGGCCAGAAAGATAACTGTTACAAACGAAATTTAAAACTAGATGTTTCAAGTTGGCCATTGGTAATGATTTTTTTTTAAATCAACTAAGATGCAAAGTATACAAAATACCGAACAAACAATGATAAATATGCATTAACAATACTTTTTTTTTTAACAGGAAAGAAACTACAGAAACCCTCAAATACAAAAAGTGTAAACTGCATTGGGAGATACTTACACCTTTCTTCTAAAACCACCTAGCATCATTAAAAGATTCTAACGGCAATTTAACTCCTTTGAAAAAATAAAAGAAATTTCATTACAGGGTGTGGAACAGGGGGATCCTGGGAAATTGGTGAAAACCAGGACACTGGAAGAAAGGCCCTGGGAGGGACCCCTGGGCACGGTCCCCTTGAGATTTGGCAAATACAAATATAGGCAAGGATCTAGGGTGAGAAGAAAGGAGAAAATGTATCGCCTGAACATCCTGGGTGTCAAGGGACTGGAATTTAGCCACCGTACCTTGTGCTCCTGGTGTCTCATGGGGGAATGACACACTTTTCCCTCTCTAATCATTTCTCCACCCATCACCTGCCCCTCCACACAGGCACACACCCTTCTCAGCACACCATTCAGAGAGACTCCTAAAGGTACAACTTCTGAGATACAAGATTAGGATCCAAGAAATCGACACGACATTTCAAAGACACTTCAGCCTTGAGTTCACACAGGCTTCCGGGACTCGTGAGCCAGCCCAGCCCTGCGGGAGACACCCCCATCTCCCTCAAAGCAAATGCCTTTAAGGGGCGGGGCCAGGCGACGGAAGAGGTCGGGAAGGTCTCTGATTTGGGGACTAAGGTTATGATAGAAACCACCAGCTTGCCCGAAATCCTTACAGATTTGGCGAGGGGAGTGGAAAATGGGGAGATTCTCATGCTGGGGCTTCAGGATGTGGAAATCAGGAGCTGCTGCTGAGGTGGTCAGATGAAGGTTAAGAAGCCCAAGCGCCTGAGGTTCCAGGCAAGGCCTGCAGCGTCTCGGTCTCATCCACCGCACCCACCCGAGCCCCTGCAGCCCGAGCGCGCGCACACATCCACCCCCAGGTCAATCGTTCCCCACTCGCAACCTACCCCTGGAGGAGGGCTCCCCTCCCTCCGCGACCACCCCCAGGCCTCCACCATCCCCCTCCCCGCTGGGCTCCGGGGCCCCGCCTTCGCCTTACACTGAATGGGCGGGTAGCAACTGGGGTCCTCGCCGCCGGGCTGGCAACGACCGGAGAAGGCGCTGCGCGGGGTCACGTAGTTGCTGGGGAAGATGCCCACCCGCTGGTTCAGCTGCCCGGTCCACCAGCCCTCGTCGCCGGACACCTGCGAGTCCTTGGACAGCACCTCCACCACGTCGCCCAGCCGCAGGGTCAGCTCGTCCTCGCCCGCCGCCTCGTACTCGAACACTGCAGTCCAGTAGGGCAGCGGCGCGCCGGAGCCCAGCTCCCCGGGGGCCGCCGCCGCCTCCTCCTCCTCTTCCTCCTCCTCCTCGGCCCCGGCCCCTGCTCCATCCTCCCCCGGCGGGGCGGCAGCGGCGGCGCTCGCCAGGCAGCCGAGAAGCGCTCTGGAGGGCTCCATGGAGCGGCCGATCCATAGGGTGCGGGGCTGCCGCCGCCCGCAGGAGCCGCCGCCGCCTATTGTTCATGCGGCTCCGCAGAGCTGGGGGGACCCCCTCCCCGACGGCGGCCGCAGGTAGGGCCCGGGCTGGCGGCGCGGGGAGAGCCGGCTCGCTGGGGCTGGGGCTGGCGCGGCG